CCTGGAGGTCAATTCCTCCCAGTGACACCAACAATAATCAAGACTTAACTACAAGGGTGTACACGCAGTCCACAAAGGGGTGCACCGAGGAGGCTGACCCATTGAACCATATAGGACACCCAGGCCCACAAAGCTACCCTACCAACTCAGAGAAGCAGCGAAAATGCAGAGACAAGGAAGGAGGTCTCAAACAAAAGACATGGAGGAGAACAAAAGACTGGATATAGAGTTCAAAACCACGGTTATAAGGTTTTTCAAGAATTTCCTAGAAAAGACCAATCAATTTAACGAGACCCTCAAGGATATGAAAAAGAAATTGGACCAACGAGAAATTAAACATACACTGACTGAAATAGAAAATATTATACAGAGACCCAACAGCAGACTAGAGGAATGCAAGAATCAAGTCAAAGATTTAGAATACAAATCTAAAGGCAAAGAACTCTCCTCCGGAGAATCAAGAAGAGAAGAGAATCCAGAAAGTTGAAGATAGTGTAGGATCCTCTGGGATAACTTCAAGCATACCAACATCAGAATTATGGGGGTGCTTGAAGAAGAGAGAGAGCAAGACACTGAAAACCTACTTGAAGAAATAATGACAGAAAACTTCCCCCACCTGGTGAAAGAATTAGACTTACAAGTCCAGGAAGCGCACAGAACCCCAAACAAAAGGAATCCAAAGAGGACCACACCAAGACACATCATAATAAAATGCCAAGAGCAAAAGACAAAGAGGGAATCTTACAAGCAGCAAAAGAAAAACAGTTACCTACAAGGGAGCACCCATACGATTATGCAGGCCAGACAGCAGTGGCAAGAAATATTCAAAGTGATGAATAGCAAGAACCTACAACCAAGATTACTCTACCTAGCAAAGCTATCATTCAGAATTAAAGGGCAGATAAAGAGCTTCACAGATCAGAAAAAGCTAAAGGAGTTCATCACCACCAAACCAGTATTATATGAAATGCTAAAAGATGTTCTTTAAAAAGAGGAAAAAGAAGAAAAGCGTAAAGATAAAAATTATGAACAACAAATACATATCTATGAACAAGTGAATCTGAAAGTCAAGTGAATTAAAAATCTGAGGAACAGAATAATCTGGTGAATATAATAGAATCAGGGGAATAGAATAGGAGGGGATTGATAATTCTCAGGGGAAAAGGGGTGTCTGTGCAGGGGGTACAGGAAGAGACTGGACAAAAATCATATACCTATGGATGAGGACAGCGGTGGGGTGGAGGGGAGAGGAGGTAAGGGCAGAGGGTGGAGCGGGGACCAGATGGAGGGGAGCTATGGGGGGAGAGGGGAGAAACAATTGTAATATCTGAACAATAAAGATTTTTTTTAATAATAAATTTTTTTAAATGTCCATACTACCCAAGGAAATCTATAGATTTTATGCAATCCCTATTAAAATACTAATGGCATATTTCACAAGACTAGGACAAATACTCCAAAATTTTATATGGAACAAAAAAAAGACCCCAAATAGCTGAAGCAATATTGAGAAAGGAAACAAAGTTGGAGGAATACCAGATATCAAGCTATACTACAAGACAGCCTGGTACTGCTACAAGAACAGTCATATAGATCAATAGAACAAAACAGAGACCCCAGAAATCGACTCCAGCTATTATGCTCAATTAATATTTGACAGAGGAGGCAAGACAGTCTCTTCAATAAATGGTGTTGGGAAAATTGGACAGATACAGGCAAAAAAATGAAACTAGATCACCAACTTACCCCATACACAGTAATAAACTCAAAATGGACAAAAGACCTATATAAATGTAAGTCGGGAAACCATAAAAATCCTAGAAGAAACCATAGGCAGCAAAATCTCAGACATCGCACATAGCAATATGTCTACAGATACATCTCCTAGTCTAGTGGTCGGCAAACTCATTAGTCAACAGAGCCAAATATCAACAGTACAACGATTGAAATTTCTTTTGAGAGCCAAATTTTTTAAACTTAAACTTCTTCTAAAGCACTTCTTCAAAACAGAGTCGCCCAGGCCGTGGTATTTTGTGGAAGAGCCACACACAAGGGGCCAAAGAGCCGCATGTGGCTCGCGAGCCACAGTTTGCCAACCACGGCCCTAGGGCAAAGGTAATTGAGGAGAAAATAAATAAATAAGACTACGTCAAAATGAAAAGCTTCTGTGCAGCAAAAGAAACTATCAATAAAATGAAAGGGGAGCCCCCTTTATGGGAGAACATATTTGGCAATGATACATCTGATAAAGGGTTAATATCCAAAATATATGAGGAACTCATACAACTAACAACAGGAAGACAAACAATCCATTTTTAACAAATGGGCAAAGGACCTAAATAGTCACTTCTCCAAAGGGGACATACAGATGTCCAGAAACATATGAAAAAATGCTCAAAATCCTTGATCATCAGAGAGATGGCTACCATCAACAAATCTAAAAATGACAAGTGCTGGTGAGGATGTGGAGAAAAGGGTATCCTAGTACACTGCTAGTGGGAATGCAATTATGGTGCAGCCATTATGGAAAACAGTGTGGACTTTCTTCAAAACATTAAATATGGAACTGCCATGTGACCCAGTGATCCCACTTTTAGGAAAATATCTTAAGAAACCCGAAACACCCATAAGAAAGAATGTATGCACCCCTATGTTCATAGCAGCACAAGTTACAACAGCTGAGATCTGGAAACAGCCCACGGGCCCATCAGCAGACGAGTGGATAAAAAGCTGTGGTACATTTACACCAGGGAATACTATGCAGCAGTAAGAAGAAGGGGTTTTTACCCTTTGGGACAGCACAGAGGGACCTGGAGAGTATTATTCTAAGGGAAATAAGCCAGTCAGACAAAGACAAGTATCACAAGATCTCACTCATATGTGGAATCTAATGAACAAAATAAACTGATGAACAATATAGATCCAGAGACATAGAAGCATAAACAGACAGGAATCTCAGGTAAGGTAGGGGAGAGTGGATGGGTGAGAAGTTATCAGCCAAAGAACTTGTATGCATATGTTTATGCATAACCCATAGACACAGACAATAGGGTGGTGAAGGCCTGGGGCGAGGGGCAGAGGAGGGCTAGAAGGGGTCAATGAGGAAAAAGGGGGCATACATGTAATACTTTCAACAATCAAGACTTTAAAACAAACAAACAAACAAACAAACAAAGACAAGTGTCCTGGCAGAATACAAAGAAAACACCTAAAATTTCATTAAAAACAAATCCATATTTCAAAAGTTTTGCAAACTTTTGATATTTTTTATTCAGCATTTATAATGATAAAAGCAAGAACATCAACTTACTGGACTGATAACTAGTTAAATCTCCCAAGTTGGTTAAAATCTATAATCTCTTTCATTTTTACCACGACCTACAGAACCCTATTCTGAGGGGGCAGTGGTGACGGGGGTGGGGTCAGAGAGGGCTTGCATTTCAGGTCCTACTGTGAACGCTGTCAGGCGCCTGGAAGTCATCCAGACCTGCAGGTGGAACAGGTGGCCTGAGCTCGCCTTTCTGGGAGCCACCTGCTCCAACGTGGATGACAGGTGTGAAACAAGTCTTGTAAAGGTCACCTGACTGTGACATCAAGTATCTAATCAACAAGCTGCACATACCTGAGGGGCACAACTCCCACAAACCTAAAGACCTTAAGTTTAAAATGCCACTCTGCTGTATCTAAGGTAGACAACAGAACTCAAAACCGCAGGCATGTGCAGAGACTAGGAGAGATTACTTAGTAAAGTTAAAGACACTATGAAACTCCAGCAATGCCTGGGCCACCGTTAAGGGGTCGCTAAGATTGGTGTGTCAAGGTTGTTGTATGTTTCACACCATGGCCTCTGTCACGTTTCTGTTGTGCTACAGTGACCACCATACCATTCTCCGGATCCTCCGCCATACACAGCATTAATGCTGTACACCACAGAGACCTGGATAAATGAATATCAGCATTTTCCTAAGAAGGCTAAACCAAGAAAGCCTGCAGGGCCATGGAACTAATCACAGCCAGTGGTGTGGGTGAAACAGTGAACATCAGCGGGACTCCCTACGGGCCTTGGCCTAAATCACCTCAGAGAGGTCAATGGCCGTCAAGTGTCAGCCATCTGCTGTCAGTCAAGCGTCAGCCATTTGCTGGCTCTGTTTGACTCTCATTAAAATTCTAAATAACACAGGGAAATGCTACTGAGAAGTTCACAGCTCTGAAAACGTCCACTAACTCCACTAAGTGGTTAACTTCTTCTAGTTAACATAACGTAGAAATTCTACTTCCATAAAATTATGTCTTTTACTTGGAAAGCTACATGAAAATTCACCAAGACAGTATTAAATTGTAGCAAAGGAGGAAAATTCAACAAAGATCATAATACACAAGTGTGAATGACTTTGATAATTAAAAATAGGTTTAACCACATCATTCCACATATCACATCACATCCAGGGGAGATGATACAGCAGCAATTAGATGTGTTATGTATGTAAATACAGGAAAGGCAGGACAACCAGAATGACTGGTGGCTATGATGCACACTGTGGGAGCCAACCAGCCTGATCTGGGTCCTGATTGACCTCCCACCCCCAGGCAGCCCGGCTCCCGATCAGCCCCCAACACCCAGATGGCGGCGGGGCCAGCTGGCTAATTGCGCGCAGCCCCTCCTCTGGGCCAGCCCAGCCTGATGGGCCCCCATTGGGCAGGCTGGTCAGACCCCACCCATGCATTAATTCGTGCATCAGGCCTCTAGTATGGTAAAGGCATCACATATACTGTGTATCAGGGCAGGAAAACTGAGCTTCTAGGAGCACATCTCTACGAGAATTCTAATACAGGGAAGGTTTCAGAGAGCAAACTTGCTCCTGGAACCAATCTTAACCGTGAGTACATGCATGCCTGGCCTGTGCCCGCCTGCTCTCCTGACTGAACTGCACACAGTGGCCAGGCGTGCGTGCTGCCTGGCCTGCAGCCTCACTCGGTGGCTCAGCACACATGCTTCTCACCTGCGGCTGTCTTTCCGGATGATGCCGTCGGGTGGGTCTTGCACCTCCTGAGCGGAAAATCCGAGAAGATGCCTCCTTTGATTTGCAGGGTTCACACTAGGATTTGTTCTCCTGGAATCCTGCTCCAACATGCTAAATGTTAAAAAAGCAAAACCAGAGGTAAATAAAAGCAGGCACACATGCTCCAGGGAGCTCTGAAGCACACAGCGGGATGCTGGGCACAGAGCAAGAACAGCAAGCTGAGTGGTCAGACCCGCAGCCCAGCACCCTGAACATGTGAAAACCACTTCCAAAAATGAACTGTAGAGATATGACAGTACCTTATCTACAGGCTGCTTAAACAGGCCAGTATTCTACATTTCAATGCTCATGTTCCATACACAGAAACAAATTCTAAACTCAGATCAGTGAAATGAGAAATTCTCCAATGAGGGGCTACTTCAAATGAAAAGGAAAGTACTCTGTACATCAACAGCCAAATGCATTAGCCTTTCACAATTCCAGAAAGCAGGCTATTAAATAAAGCTAACAAAAATTATTTTACCAAATACTTCCATTTTTATTGTCCTAGTTAAGCCCTGCCAGTGTGTTCACACTATGGCATGGTTAGTGTTGACCCATGCACCAAAGGGTCATGGGTTCAGTTCCTGGTCAAGGGCACGCATCTCACTTGCAGGTTGAATCCCACAGCCCGGTGTCGGGGTAAGTGCGGGAGGCAATCGATGTGTTTCTCTCACATCGATCTCTCTCTATCCCTCCTTCTTGCTCTCTCTCCCCCCATCCTCTCCTTCCCTCTCTTCCACTCTCTCTAAAAAGCAATGGGAAAAGTATCCTCGAGTGAGGATAAATGGACAAATAATTGTTAAATAAAGAAATAAATAAAATTTCCTATGTACTTCTTTGTTGCCACTCTACTCCTAATACTTTCATCCATCAATGTAAGTTCTGTTGCTGGGCCTAAGTATTTGGAGGCAAACAAATACACACATACACATGCACACACAATTCAAACATTGCAATAATTATTTTAACACTTCTAACACACTAAACCATTCATCACGGGCTTGGAAACTTGGCTCATCAGTATCCTATTGTGTAGTGAGTTTATTCTAGTCCCAGGCACATAACTCACGCTGGTTCTAACCCGCAGGGAAGCGTGGAGGAGGGAGGCCAGACCTGCTCAGGGAGGAGGGGAGGACTAGGAGGTTGGGGAAGAGGGCTGTTGGGGCCTGTGGTTCCTAAGAAACAGTCTTCAGAGTACAGTCGTTTGCCTCCAAATGCGAGGAAGGCACAATCACAAGTGGTCATTTGCATGTGGATGGATGACCAGTAATTAAATGAGCGCAGGATTATTAACACTCGGAGGTTCTGAAGAGCCCGCCTACAGGGGTCTGAACTGAGGGCTGATCTTCCGAAGATATCACGACCGGACATCCTTCTCAGCTGCACTGTGGCAGGCAGGTGCCTGAGTGCGGGGCCAGCGGGGTCCACTCCCTGACGGGACCGGCGGCATCACTCGCAGCCACCCCACTGGAGGCAGTCTGACAGTGACCGCGCTTCCCCACGCGGTCATCCTGACGACGCTTCCCTGCTACTGCAGCCACTGCCCCTTCTTCAGCCACAGGGTCAGCGCTCACCCGATGGCCTTTACAACTCTTCACTGTGGAGTCCACAAAGTGTCACAAGCAAGCGTCGTGGACAGGCAAAAATTAGGGTCCAAACAGCCTATGAGTCTCAACTTTATTATCCACCCATTGGCCCAGGATGTAGTTTGGAAAGGTTATATGCCAAGAAATTTTACAAAGAATCTTTTAAAGTTTTTCACTTATTTTTTAAGTTGTTTTTGTCATTAGCCTCCATTCCCTGTAATTTTTATGTACTGAAATGAAATTTCTCTTAAGTTAAGGACAAGCTCAAAAAGCTGTAAATGCCTGAACCCTAATAAATGGCCACACTAACTTAACATCTGAGTAACAAACAGGAGAATATGAGACAACTGGTAATGATGTGGACTTCTAGATTCTTGGCACGAGTGTTTTTACATCATGTGATGTCCCCTTTTGCTAACTGGGGGAAATTAAATGTCCAATAACGCTAAGGGATGCCTCGGAATTGCAGGAAGGTCAAGGTAATGGTTATACATTCATTGACGACAGTTTATACTACTAACAAGGCAATCTAATCAAACTCTTCATGACAAGCTTAAATGTGGTTCTGTTCAGTATTTTTAATAAATACGAGGAAAAAAGTATGTCTCTAGGACCAGACATGTTGCTCTTCACTCCTCGAAACCACGGGAGTCACAACAGTTTTAAGCCACAAAACAATCCTCATCCAACAAACTTGCCCATGTTATGGGCCAACAGGTCTGGAGTGCAAGGATTAATAAAGCACAAGTAATTTCAATTTCCCCAAAGGTCTGGAAAAGTATTAGAAAACTGTTATTTTTCTTTTTCATTTGTGAAATGCTAGAAGCCAACAACTGTTTGGATTATTTATGAAGCCATTTAATCCTTAAGATGATTTCAGATCCAATTTTAATACCAAGTAGCTGAGCAGAACACGCACGCACAACCCAACCGATTCCGCCCTTTGCAAACCAGTTCAGCCGAGGAAATTGCAAAGTCCAGCCACGGCCGCAGGGGAGAGGCAAACTGGCTCTCGTCCCCAGAGCAGCCGCATGTGGCCGCTTGTGAGCTCGGAGGCAGGTGAGGCTGACCAGCCGGCTCAACGCAGCGGAGCGGGAGAGCACGAGCCAAGCCAGAGGCCTGCTTCAGGTGTGGCTCTGAACCACCCCACACCTCTCACGTGGAAAACGGGGAAACAAGTATCCCACAGGGTTTTCAAAGGTCCCAAGGCGCATGTGGGCCAAAGAGGGCACAGCAGTGAGTGGGGGGCTGGGCTTCCCACCCGCCAAGAGCGGGGCCTGCGAGACTGAGGTCAGACCATCACGCTCCTCTGCTCAGCCTGCGGCGGCTCAGCCTTCTGTCCTGGGAGGCCTTCCGAAGACAGAGGCCCCTGGACTTGACTCCTCCCTGCACCGGAGTCCCGGTGTCATCTCCGCAGTGTCCCCTACCCTTCCCCCCCTCCCCGCACGGCACTCCTGTCAGCCACATGGGCTGTCTTCCTTCACAAGCCACACACCTGCCACCTCGCCTGCTCTTCCCACTGCAGGAAGGCCTCCCCTCACACCATGGGAGCGTCTCACCCTGTGGCCTTGCCTGGGCCAAACGTCTACCTCCCGATGATCGATGATCGCTACTGGCAACTAGAGTTCCAGCAGCCCTCCCTGGTAAGCCTGCTTGATCCCTTCGTTCAGTGTACAGCTGCCTCCCTTATTGGTGGTAAGTTTGCTGTCTGCCTGCCTCGCTAGAATGAGGATGCCCAGCCCATAGGAGGCATTCCTTTTTACTCTTTTTAACAACAAATCAATGAATTTATTGTACTACTCTACCTCACACCAAGAAAAAAATTCATATCTTTATTTTAGGAAGACTCACCCCAAACTGAAAAATGACAGATGGTGATCTCATTACCCTCCCACCTCCGGACCCAGGAACGGGAAATTGTGTGACTTTTCGCTGCAACTGAGGGAAGACAGAACTCTCAGGGGATTCCACAAACCTCAGCTGCTTCTCTGCACGGAGGCTCCGGTGATGTCTGCAGCCGGCATGCTGGGTAATTTACTAGAAGCAGGACTAAAAAAGTAGATCTTCAACTAAAGATTGAAAAACCAACCCTCTAGCCCTGGCCGGTTTGCTCAGTGGTTAGTGTCACCCCACACACCAGCCAGTCTCAGCTTCAATTTCCAGTCAAGGGAACATACAGAGGTTGAGGTTCAATCCTCGGCCCCAGTCAGGGCACATGCAGGAAGCAAGCAATCAACATGTCTCTCAAATCCATATTTATCTCCCCACTCCCCAACTCCCTCCTTCTTCCCTTTCATTATCTCTAAAATGCAATGTAAAAAATATCCTCAGGTGGGGATTAACAAAAACAAAACAAGCAATAAACCCACAACCCTTTAACCAGCGGTGGCCACCCGCGGTCCGGAGGTCAGAAAGGCTGGCGCCAGCACCAGGGTCTCCAGGCCCCGAGAAGAAACAACCTGAGCCTCCCCGCTCCCCGATGGCGGGTGGTGGTCAGCGCTGCTTGGCAATACTGTGTTTTCACTGAAGGCGTCACATTGTTTGTTAGACATAATACCATGACTGCACACTTACTGAACTGCAGGGTAGCAAACACTGTTTGGACTTGAACTCCCGATTTCTCCAAGGTCTGCCTGTACATCAACCCAGTAGATTCACAGAATAAATGTTTTCTCATTTCCCAGTCGATCCTAACTGCTAGGGGAATGGGCAAAATCGTTGGATTCTTGCCCTAACTCCTCTGTCTGTAAATACCAGCTCCCGTGGCGAGTAGCTGCTGCTCTATCAGGGGCTAAGGCGGGCGCTCCACAGACCAACTGTGACTCAATCCAGGCTCTGCCACACCACCGTGACCTCAGAGCCTGAATACAGCGTGGGCACGGTCACACTCCCCTTCTAGTCCTGGGAGAAACTGTTCCTATAAAGTCCACAGACTAATACTAGATGCATAGTAAGAGTTTGATCAATAGCTTACCAAAACCAACACACAAAACCACCACCTTTACCAACAGATGGCACCAACACACAGCCAACCTGCATCATTCTAGAGCACAAGTGTCAATAATAACCACCATGATCATGAACAGTAGTGTGTATATCTTCCCTTCTATTTGTCTTCTTTTCCTGTTCGTTTTCCATTTATCTCTCATTTTTAAATTCACACAAAAATTGGGAAAGAAAAATGATGGCAAGTGAGCTCTTCCTGAGAAGCTGGAGAAAGGACACAGCCGCAGCAGCTCGCGGAAGCCATGGCCAGTGACCCGCCGGCAGTGGACACGGTGCCATGTGTGTTCAGGACACACAGACACAAGGAGGCTAAGCGACAGCACGCAGCGCTCACTGACATTTGCGGTGACGCACCTGAAATAATGTCAAATGGGAAATGAAATAACTAAACAGCTCAAACCTGGAGACAAAAAAAGGCACTGATGGCTCAGCATCGAGAAGCTTAAGCAATGTGTGACAAATGCATGTACACTTCAC